GAAATACAAGGAACGATATTTGACTGCACTTTTGTCCTTTATAGCAACGAACGTATTTCGTCGCTTACTACGAGTACAACGCTGAGTGTTGTGGGTCTGATCCCCACATGGGACGACTTTGTGTGATCCGCAAATTGTTGTTCTGAGTCTATGGGTTTTTAGTGTGGGGATTGTCTTTAATAAAAAATACATATATTTATATATCTACATGAAAATGCACATCAAAAGTTACTCGTTCTATGTAGTTCAGCTAAAGGGTAGTAAAAGACCGCAGACTGCGATAAGGCCGCTTATTGTACGAGTATTACTGTTTTTTTTCTGTATTCTTTACTGTACGTATATAATTCATGGTACACAATAACGAGTACCTACCTATGTATCTATAATCACAACTTCCGTGGGGCTACCAAAGTGAACAGTGTTTTTTTTCCAAGCTGAATAAAATGCAACAGTTTGTGTCACCGAAGGAATTGATCACCAGGTTGGTACAGAGAGGGAGGCCAATAGCTATCAGGAGTAATATGTTGGGCCGTAGGTATGCTTGTCCTTGTTTAAAGTTTACTGATTAACTTTCAACATGTGTATGTAGGTCAGTTGTTCCCAGAGATCACGTGAGGTGCTGCGTGTTCGATATACCTAATAATATTGACGGACCTTTTGGTCTAGTGGTCCATGACCTTGACTCCTAAGCCAGAGATAGTTTGTTCGATTCCAAACCTTGACGAACAATTATGTGATGAGCCCAATCATTTGTTCTGAGTCTGGGAGTAATTTATCTATAATATTTTTGGATTTACAAATATATAACTAAGTTTATCAGCAGTCTGGTTGCAATAGCACATGTGAGATATGTGAGGTTATTATTATTAATAATAACGCCTTTAGAATGCTAGTACGATGTCCTCACTTTGTTATAACTATTATTACGGTAGGTACATTATGTTGATTGTTAGGTCATAGTATTTATCAGGCGGACTACAAGAAATACAAACAAAAGTTAGTAGCTATTAACTGTTAGGCGATCGCTAAACATCATACAAGACATAATTTTTTAATCGACTTCAAAAAAGGTGGAGATTCCCATGTCGATTACATTTTTTTAATGTTTACCACAGAACTCCGTCATTAAATTAATGAACCAATTTAGAAAAATCTATTTTTAATTTGGGTATTAAATATTATTTTGTCCAAACTGGAAGTTACAAAATAATATTTGAAGAACAAAAAACGCTTAAAAGTGGAAAATTAAGGAATTAAAATACAGTTTGTTGCAATTCTATGACCCTCTTTTGAAGTTAATTAATTAAAATAAACGGTTAAACAATGCGGATAGAACATTTATCACACAAGTTTGGTATACATGTATATTAAACCACATAAACGAAACCCGCTCCGAAGATATAAAATTTTAAATAGTAGGTGTAACACCTGCGTCCAACAACGAATAAATTGCTTTTTAAATAAACATCGTGAATACATTAAGTGCTCTTTTACTTAATTATAAATTTTCAATTTAATTAAGATTTATGACAGCGAAAGTGGACTCCTTGCTAGAAAACATATAATACATGTTTATTTTATTAAATACTTTTACTAGCTTTGAAGAACGCATTGCCGCAGTTGTAAAAGCCCATGACCATTATTTGTTTCCCTATACCATAAAAACATGAGCGGCTGCTTTTTCAAGTTACAGTTATGTGAAATTGACCCTTCTCGAGCTTTTGCCTACACTAGTCTCTCTTTCTCTCATTATCTTCTCTTCTTACCCGTTATATTCCTATGTTTCCCCGTTCCTCCGTAAATGTTGTATATATAAAATGTGAACGTGAAATAAATGTGTACCTACTTGGATTGTGAAGGCCGTATTGTAGTAGATCTAAAGCCGACCCCAACCTTGTTTGGGAGAAAAAGTCTCTAGAGGAAGGAAAGAACTGTGTACAACCCTTCACTTACTAATACTATATAGATTACTATGAGGATTCTCTGTGCCTTTGAATGCATAGCATCTGCAAATCCTATGTGCATCCGTAAATATGTATGTAACATAGTGAAATATAAATAGAATAGTGAATGTAATAAATGTTTATAATATAATCATCATCATCATCATCAACAGCCTTTAATAGTCCACTGCTGGACATAAGCCTCTCCTTAGAAAGGAGGTTTGGGCCTACTATACCACGCTGGCCAGACGGGTTGGTATAGGGTTAGTTTCAAGTTTTCCTTCTCTCTGCAGTGCTGTATTTCTACGATGATTTCTCCCTTAGTCGGCTCTTACGACACCATCGGGAGGAATGGGAGTGGTGACACTCTGTATTCTTAATTGGTCACTACACGGAGATATAATTTAACACAATGACGTAATATAATGTTCTAATGATGTAATGAAATCTCCCTTTGAACCGTACCGAGTCTAACCAAACAAAAAGTGCTAGACGGCTTGGCTCCGAGCGTATTTTGTTGATGTTCAGGGTGTTATCTAAATAAGAACAAGTTCGTCCGCCCCGATCCAAGTTATTTGCTTTTGTAAGGACACTCGCGAGCAATATTTCCCAGTCACATAAAGATATCTAAAAATATCAGAAGCTAAGACTACCAGCTTCTTTAAATGAATTGTGCTTAATCCATACTTATAAAAGTAAAAGTGATTTTACGAGTATTTGTGTGTTTGTTTGTTCGTTACTCTTTCACGTCAATTACTAGATTTTAAACACAAAATTAACACAACTTGGCATGCTTTACACAAAGTTTTTCATACATTGTTGGGGACCATTTTCTCATTGTTCTATGAGAACAATATTAAATTCTCTCTCAATCTTTTCTCTCAATCTCAATTTTTCCATGCTATGAGTTGAAGGCAGGCAGTAATCGTTTATTCGCAAATTGTCTGAGTTAGACCCAAGCATACCTTAACGGTTTAAAGTCTATACTAGCATATACTTATGTATTTATCTACCAGCCATTCTCATTCACAATCCAATCCGAATTTATTACTCTCTAATGTCTCTCTCTCTCTCCGAATGTACATTACATTGTAGCTATAGAATCTGTGGTGCATCTGTTAACTGTATCAATTTATCTACTTGTTATAATAATCATATCTGTGTTACATATCTTTCAATGACGTCTCTTTTGTACGAAGCACAATGAAACTACAGACGAGAGCCAATATGATCGTAGATATTGTATGTACGCGCACAACGTAAACGCATCAGCGATATTTTTATACATGGTAGCTAATGAGGATAATGAAAAGAGAGGTGGTCAAATTCGTACTTGATACAGTCAGAACTCTTAAGCGGTCAAATTATTTTTAACTGGCAAAATCTGTCAAAAGTACTTGTGAAAGGAACATCATACAGCAAGGTAACAACTATAGAGGGGACGGATTAAGAATACGGAGTATCATGTGGATCAACCACATGTAATTAAAGGTAAACTACTTATTACGGCAGATTTTCATTTTTACACTTATAGTAGGGCAGCCCTAGAAGGGATTTACTAGTGCGTGTAAGAGGAGCGTGTCATAAGGATGAATACCTTACACCCAGTTGTGTGCCTCCACTATACATGAACCCTACATATAGGGCCGAGAGGATAGGTCAGCCCATCAGATTAGTTAAAAAAAAGAATGAGGTAGGTGCATTTGTAGGAGGGTAATAAATGATTGAGGTTTTATTAAATACCAACTATTTTGACTGTTTATTATTTGAATAATCTTTGGAACGGCTGGATTGATAGGCAATAACTTTCAAGATTTTCCTTTTCTTTTAAAATGATTAGGGTTCCTTCCAAAATATGTATATAAATGTATACGTGTGCAGAGATAGTGTTCTCTATGTATGAGTATATACGTCTACTCTCAACTAATTCCGTAAAAATTAAATTTAACAACAATATCAGCTATAGATAACAAATGACATATGCACTACCTATACAACACCCTACTCTATTTCTTGTTTGTGCAGCGTCTATAGCGGAAGCTTGCCAATTTATTTGATGAAAGGGAATGCATAGTTTAGGTCTAAGTCCTTTGATCTATGCTGCCGTATATTCGTATGTCGCGTTGTTGAGAAATTTGCAGCGTCCTATATTACAGTGTGAGTTGTGTTTGGCGAAATTAACGAGGACAAAGCCATGGGTATCTCTGCAGGATGATATTTGATTACGCTTTGTTGTAATCGTAGAAGTTAAATACATTCAGATGATTCTGTAATTGACCTCACGATTTACTAACTAAAATCTGCTATGTAAAGCTTCTCGTTTTTTATAAGGCAATTGTTTAAAAAATGGAAATAAAGATCTCTTCAGTAATAGTGTTACTTTTATATGAATTTGATCTTTGATTTATTTGTTTTTTTTTTCATATTAAATTAACAAATTTATATGATGAGATCAAAAATTTAAGGGAAGTACATATTTTATTATGGTTTTTATAACTTGCTGGTTTGCGATATATGACTTAGACTTTCTTAGTTTAGACTACTTTTTGAATAAGAGTTAGGTGCAGCGACTGGGTAAGAGACAAAATAAGTCAAAATAAAAAGTAACCAAAGGAAAGTCTACAATTTGATCAACTTATACAAAAGGTATTAACTAACACAATGATGTTTAGAAAAATAGAAGTTTGTTGGATAAATTTTGCATACTCTATAACTGTGTGTTATTTTAAAAATTTAATTTAAAATATTGCATAAAATACTTTGCTTTAGGCATAGTTAGTTCTATGTGTAGTAGAATATTATAAAATAATTTCGATGACTTTTAGATTGTCTAGTTACTATGGTTGAACTTTATTCACGTAAATTGGTAGATTAAATCATGAAATGTTTCGTTCTGGTCAAATTGTCAAAACATTTTGGTGTTTATAGTGTCAGTAGAAGGTTCATTTTGAAAGAATTGGTTTTTGCTTGCAGTAGTGGCCCAATTACAGTCTCGCTGCTGTGTAAATGTTGCATCCACTATATTGATATATGTATGTATTTTATGCGTCTATCTACCTTGAAGTGACCTCCTGGTGGACAGAAGTAGTTCAGCCGTTCGCATGGTGGTAGCAGCAGAACTAATCACAGCAGCATGCCGTAGTGATGATCGCAGTTTCACCTCTCGCCCTCGACCGCAGCACTGGCCGCCACATATTGGACCTAAGGACAAAATAAAAAAATATTAGTTAGAGTTAGGAATAAGGTTCGTTGAGTAAATATTATTCATTAAAACCGCAGTCTCGCATAAACAGCAGTCAGGAAGATTACATGTTCTTTTTACTATTATCAGATTTTTTTTAAAGATTTACATTTTTTCTTAGCTTAAATTTTTCAAAACCTTACTTTTAGTTAGATGTCAGAATTATGGCGATGATTCCCAATCACTTTACTGACAGCGCGAATGTGATATTTAACATTTATTGGTCAAAATAAAACGAAAAAATAGTAGGTATTAACCAAAAAAACCTACCATCGTACATTAAAAATGTAAGCTCATTTATTTTATTCAAAACTCGATTAGCTCAATATGTACGTACATCATTCACATAACTTGTCCTCAGGCAAATGCATACATTGGATTAGTACCTATCTACTTACAATGATATTGTTTATTGAGTGAAATGACGAACGAACCTGTGCGATACTTGAAGTTATTATTGTTCTCAAGTATGTGACTCGGTTTTTATTGAGAATAACGAATCTTTAATGCCAAAAATAAAAATAAAATTTTGAATTTTTCACAAGCGAATTTGCAAGAAGTTTTCTCGTTAATTCTCATTACTGTTCACTACATCTGTTAAACACTCATGGTGTTATTGTTGTATATTGATAGACTTCTTTTATAGCTACTTTACTAGTTTTAAATTAACTCTATGGTGTTCAATCCATTTAGACTATTTTACACTCGTTGTGTGTTATATTTAAAAAGTGGTCAGTAACTTGGACTTATTAAGGCGACGGGCCCTTAACAAGCGATTCCAATTACCGTTTAATGTGAGGTCAAAGGTGGGTTGTCTGAAGTAGGGTCACGTGACATGCGTCACCGTGATGAGGGTACACTCCAGTTAACACGCTTAGAAACACTTACCTTAATCACTTGACTATCACTAGGTAGATCAAGTGTCGTGGAGATGTTCGACTCAGTAATGATGAATGTAGAAAAAAAAACAAAATTGTCCGTACATGGGTATTGGCTGTATGAAAATTTATCAGTTGAATATATTGGAATTTTTAAATTTATTTTCGCATTGGTAAAAAATAGAACGAGAGCCCATGAGATAGCCTATAAAGAAATATGTATTATTTGTAAATCAATGTATACATTGATTTTACGCAAAAGATAAATTATTATTGTCCTTTAACTGGTTTCCCTAAAGATTACACGAAAATATTTGCTTAGAGATTGAATTTGTATGTTTTAGGCACCACAGAGACTTTCACAGACAAGATAAACAAGAGTTTATTTATTAAATTGTATCATTTCGTTGTCGAATAACACGTTTTTACTGAAATAAAATGGACTCGTACACTATATGATTCTTTTTAATTTAATTATTACTTGCTTTTTATGAAATATAAACAGAGTTTAATCTGTCCTGCATTTTATGATACCTACGTTCAAAACTTTCATTAAACTGTTGTAAAACTGAAATATGAATCAAACATTGCTTAAGTTGTAAATATATCTAGTAAATAATGTTTCTCTTTCGATATCAATAACACGCTAACGAGCTACTAATTTAAAATTATCGTAATACACTAGTCACGTGCTGTTTCAACTGTTCTCTTTGGCCGCTGTCCAAAGACCCGCAATAAGAAGATGAAACAGTACGGGAAATGTTAGCAGTTGTCAGGCCAGATGTGGCATGCCAACGTTTTAATACGACTATAAGTTGGTGACTATTCTGTTGTCATTCACAGTAGATATTCAATATTGTTATTTCCTTTTTGGAAGGATAGAAAAATCCTATGACTTTTATTATTGTACCAGTTTTTTCCCGAAATTTAGCCTCCACGTTTATAATCTCTGCGTCTAAGGGTTGTACAAGGAGATTAATTAAATAGGCTATAAAAACCTAATTTTCAAGATTAACGCGTTCAGTTGAAAAGGAACTAACCGTTCACTTTCGTTACACCAGCATAAATTTGATTTCTTTTTCAATCCTCAGTTGTGTTTTACGCTTTACTTATTCAGCAAGGGCACAGAAAAAGCAGATCGAGATTATTCAGAAAAAATAATAATTATTGCTTAAGAAAGTTTCCTTCAGCCACCATGTCTTAGTTACAAAGGCTATCAATAGATAAATGCAAGATTATATAAAAAAGTAAAACACAACAATTACTAGTTATAATTGGGCATGTATGTTATAAAATCAAACTAGAAAGAGTTTGTTCAGTTATTTTTTGTAATAAATGAGATTACTCTTATTGAGCACAAAAAATAACTGAACATTAATTTTGTTTGGAAATCTAATCGTTGTCAGACTGGAGAAACGTATAACTAATGTAAATTGGTGTGAGGAAAACGGATAGAGACATGAAGCTAGACTTAGAGGAAGCGAAAGTCTCGTATTGGGGATGCAAGGCTGGGGTCACGAACCCATAATGTCCGCCTTGTGGTTGGAAACGCTATCAGGAAAAGCCTTAACTAGGACTAAGATTTTCCAAGATTAAAATTATTTCTAATCGATTGTTTGTCCATAGTATTTATTATATTTTACAATACGCTACGGTCTCTTGGAGCAAAGTAGTACCTTAAGTGTTAATGTACTCGGGACACAGTACTACACCTGAACATTATGAAATTTTCAAATAAATATATTTCGTACGAATATGATTAATGTGGACATACAACAGAATAAATACTTCAATTAAAATAGGACTAGAATACTGAAACTAGCCATTAGATATGTCTAGGTAGGTATTAGGCTAATAACAGGATGTGACTAAGACATATTTAAATCATAGTAAAATTTGATAACATATACCGCGTGGGGTTCCAATTTAGTTGAATAAATCTACATTTATGGCATACCACACATGAATTTAGTACACTTAAATGATAGGTCACATCAACCAGCATTTATTTATTCAAATACATATTGTTTTAACGTCCACGAGTTATACCTAATCTCATTCATTGTATGTATATTTCTTTAGATATATTCTGGGTTGAAGTAAGCGGAGTGCTGTGTGGAGTTGAACGCTCTATTGATTTCTATTCTATCGGCAAGAAATGTGTCGCAAAATCTTTCATTCAACTTTGTAAGTACGTAACTATACATACTGTATTAACAGATCTTGTTTTTATTACTCGTGACAGTAACGATTTGACTTAAGTAAAAATATCATAGATATTTAAGTTCGGGGAATGGTGTTCTAAACCTATATATTGAGACTCAAATAAATTTTCGATATTTCTTATTTGTTAAACAATTGTGATTGAGATAATTAGATAGGACGAAATACTGAACTATTACATCGTTTAAATCAAGGAAGTTAGGTAGAAATACAAGTTTTTTTTAATTTTTACTTTATTACTCGATACATTATCACTACTCGGCTCCGATTCACGTGAAAATTCTATGCCCAGCCAAGCAAAAGACTTGTCTATTACGACTTTAATCTATGTTGTAAAAGTTATTATGAACTGTTAATTATTTTTAGCCTTAAATAAACCCCTTTCAACTTTTTTGTTTAAACGGTTTAAAAGACGTTAATAAGTACTTTGAACTTTTAAATTTTAAGATTTGAAAGATGGCTTAATTTTATAAAAGTGTTTAATTTACCATCTCACAACTATGATCATTATTTAAAAAAATAAAAAACCCGACTGCAAAAGTCAATTTAAAAGAAATGCACTAAAAAGACCGAATCAGCACGATGTGCGACACAAACATGGCCGATTTTTACGCTATCATGATAAATATGTTGCGAACTGGTAGCATCCATTACTATGATGCAGATGATAGTACAGGCGTTTTATACCGGTCGCCCGAATATTTCTCGGGGAAACGTCATTGAGAGTCGAAATAAACTTGTGTCTGAAATTGAAACTTCCTTGACGGATGTTTCAGATTGGGCTCGACTGAATCTAGTCCATTTTAACACGAAAAGACACAGGTTTGCGCGTTCACCGTAAAAATATACCGTTTGTCGTATTACCTCAGTTCGAGAATACCTCCCTAACTGCCACAGCCAGTATCGCAATCCTAGGCATCGACACATCAAGCGAAGTTCAATTTCCCGGTCATTTAGAGGGTTAGGTCAAATTGGCCACGAAGAAGCTCAGTGTGCTAAACAGGTCAAGGAAGTATTTCACTCCAGCCCATCCCTCCAACTTTATAAAGCGCAAGTTCGGCCGCATATGGAATACTCTTCTCATATCTCTGCAGGGGCACCTCAGCTTCTCTCTCTGGACCGTATCCAAAAAAAGAGCGACTCGAATCTTCGATAGCCTAAAGATAATTATCGAAATCCTAACTGTCATAACTGTCTAAGCCCATCCAGTTATTTGGAAAGTACAAGGTAATAAGAAAATTAACAACCAAAAACGTAACCCTTCCTTGGCAGTCGGGTAAAAAACAAAAAAAAACATTCAAAATTGTTAAATGCAGCCTTCATAATTTATCTGTGGCAGTTGAATAATTGTCTGTGACAATATGATTTTGTCTGTGGTAAATTATCAATATTTTGATTTTACCAATATATTATATGTATAGTTGATAGACTGTTTCAATATTTTTTAAATAGTTGCAACACTTGTATGATTGTCCGAAAACTCAGCTTTATTCTGGATGGTGTTTATTTACCAAATTAGAGAAATACTCAGTATAAAGAAAACTAATATGATTTAGTTAATTTGCAACACAAGGAAACATTAGGAGTAGCTTAATTTCCATAATCTTGACACAAATTACATTATTATCAAAATAAAGAATATTTAATAGCAGAAAATCGTGAATTACAATGAAATATTTTTTGGATTTGGTCCAAAAAGTCCAGATGTAAAGGGTTTACCACAGTTAGGTGTTAAAAATGCTAATGCGACTAGTTTACGATTTTGTGTGCGTGTCAGTAACTCTGTGTTTAGAAGTACAGTTAGGAACAACATTTGTAAAACAAAACTAATTAAACAAAATAAGATATGTGTCCATTAGATATTTCTGGAATCTGTCCAAATATTAATTAACAGTTTTCACAGTCCCATCCTACAAATCGTTACTAATATTGCGAATGCGAGTGAGTGTGTTCCACAATTTTGACACGCCCAGAAAGGAGAACACTATTCATCCTGTTAATGAGGAATGAAAATTATAATTTTAAAATTTTATGTGAAGCGATTATAAATACAGTTATTGACTTTTTCTGTAATATTCTTTTTCCATGATATTCTGTCAAGGGTTGTCGGAATTCTCCTTATTCAGAAGCTTCGTCATCCTGGTCCACCATGTCAAAGGATGACCCTCGGACGCTTCTGTCTTCTAGGCTTAGAACCATCCTCACGATGTGCTGCTCTGAGCTTATGACATGTCCGTACCACCTCAATCTGTTTAACGTTAACTTGCTCTGTATTGAATCCACCTTAAAAATGCCACGGATAGACCACCTCAACATTTCATTTCTGCGGTGAGTCAAAAAATAAGAAGAGAAAGAAATATAACTTAAGCTTCAAAAAAACGACTAGAAATATGCTCGACCTCCAGCCCCCCTCCTCCTCCCTCAATCTCTGTCAATTATCTTCTCTCTCTAGTTGTTTCTCTTTGCTTAAACCTATACGTGAATAGAGCGTCGGTATGTGTGAGGATATGTATTGTGTATTCTAATTCTAAGTGTAAATATTATTGGCAAAACCGTATCGGTTTTTAAGGCTTTTAGTTTTTTTGCAAAATTTATGTTTTTGCAGTCAGTAGCAATTTCCGTTACCGATTTCGATACATATTATTATATTACATATGGCACGTCGTGAGAGCGTCGCCCGCTCAGCAGGTTCAAGGTTGCGCCGGCGCATTGTTGTGTGACAGCTAGACGAGAACATACAAAGGCCGCCTGCTGAATAGTATTGCCACAGTTTTTCTTGTTTGAATACAAAAAAATAAATATTTAAATCTATTCTAAGAAATGATTCCTGTACATGTCTTAGCTATTGACTACGTGCTACTAGAGAATTCTGAGGTACTTTGGACATCAGCCAGAAAGAGTCTAGACAACCTCCAAAAGGTGATCTTGGTGGGCAGAATACTGGGTAAAATGTAATGCAGAAGGACACCTTACCTCATCTTTTTGAAGAATATAGGAGAAATTAATAAATGCAATTAAATACACATTTACTGAATTTAATCTAAAACCTTACTAAATGATGAATAGTTCAAAAGGATCAAGATTTAGGAAGGGGTTGGCCCATTTAAAAATGTCAAGTACAGTTCTTGTTTTTCTTTGAGAAGGGTCACCATCAAGTTTCTGTTGTGGGAAGAGAGTGGCGAGGCGATAAAACATTCGTACCCATGAGCGTTTATAAATAGTTATTTTTAGCAAATTGTACGTCGTTCTCACACAAAATTTTGTTCTATGACAAAAGTACAAGGTTTGTGAATGAATTTTTTGGAAACACTTCAGATGTTTTTGGACCAAATCCAACGGTTGCCATTTAGTCTGAAATTGAAATGAATGACACTAAATAATTAACTTTAAAAAAAGTTTTACTGTCTTCAAACCCTGCATTGTAATAAATTGTGGTATTCATTCCATAATTTGCCATAAGGGTGATAATTTTACTTTAAATGGCATCCAGCGGGAAGTATAGTATCCCCAGTTTCCATTTTTTACGCGTGGAACCCCCCTCGGGCCGTCCCCGATCGGGGTTTGCAGCGGGATGGTGTGTTGGATAGAGGAACTGCTGTTATTGAGACATCCGGACCCCTCCTAGCGCCTGCCCGCAATAGCGCGGGCACCATCTTCGGGTGCATCCTCTATTTAGGCGACGTACGGCATACGCGGACGTCGCCTCCTAGCAGCTATCCCTACTAAAACAAAATAGATTCATAAACGAGTTCCGAACTAACAAACATGGAAAAAATACAACCAGATTGAGAATCTTTTCCTTTTTTCCGTGGGTTCAAGGCCATTTATTTGCATTTCTTGAATACATAGCTAATTAATATAATAAGCCCACACTATACCCAACCACTAAACTCTATGAGGAAAGTCAACTTTTAAGTGTCCGCAAACTTTTTATACACTATACCATATTACTTGTGCACAAAACAGTTATTTCATCCCCGGAATATAACGATATGACCAGACGTTGTCTCATTAGACTACATGTACCTGCTTGTCGCACTAAATTTGCAAAACGCTTTTATCCGTTTTTATCAGCCTACATTTATAATATTACTTCCAAATTCTGTAACATCCGTCTGAATACAGTACCAGAGACAAAAATAAAAACTTATGAATCGTTAAGTAAACTCACATATGAAGAGACAGAAAAGTTATAAACTGCTACAGCATAAAACATATTTATATATTCAGTTATTTATAATATTTAGAAGTATATTTTATTAATAGTATTTCCTATGGGTTATATTTATATATGATTTATATATGGGATTATATATATTATGATATAATTTGTACCTAATTAAAAGGGATCTCGTAATTTTAAGCATAATTTTTTAGCATTTATTTTTGTTGAATTGTCTAATTGTTTTATTTTAAGTAGCTCATCAGGGTCTTTTTCTGTTTTTCTAAAATGTTTAAAATTGTGAAGTGCAGGAGCTCTATACCTTAATGTAAATACGTTTGGCTGGACCCCACGATACAGGCTTGCCTAGTGTGGGGACCGCGTTTAATATTTATCTGATAAGATCTGCTACACTAATTTTATGTCTTGTTAAGCACTCCTGTAATTTATTTTCCTTGTGTTTCTAAATAAATATTTTGTCATTTTTCAGTTCCAAGTAGTTGGACGTGGACATTGAAGGTATCTATAGTAATCATCGCCGAAATAAATTACAACAAAATTTAATGTCAGATCGTGATTAGATAACAAAATAGGTTTCAGTATAGGTCTCTAATAGCGGTATTATTACCATAATGACGACTGTATTTGGATAAACGGCGAAGCGTGTAGCGACAGCTGTAACAAGACAAGGCCACGCCACTAGACAGAGCGGTGCCTCACTCAGTCCCCCACATCTATTTAATCTATTAAGTAAATTGGTTAAATAGTTTAATACCTAACACCTACACTTTAGATAAATTATGACTACATATATAATTTGATAAATAGATAAACGTTACTTGGCGATGGTAATTACTTCATGTTACAGATATCCATAAATCAGAATTTATTGACCAATTTTTTTCTGACTAGCTATTGCCCGCGGCGCCGCCCGCCTGTATGTCGGTTATGGTAAAAAACCAATGACCTTCCTCGAGAATCAATCTATCTCTATAATAAATTTCATCTAAATCGGTGCAGCGATTATTATTGTTATATTGATTTCCCATACAAACTTCCACCCCCTTAAAGGATGATTTCTGGAATAAAACCTACCCTATGTCCTTCCCCGGGGCTCAAACTATCTCTTTACAAATTTTCATCTAAACCGGTTCAGCGGTGGTAACAGACAGATAGACAGATAGACACACTTTCTCATTTATAATATTAGTATGGATTAAAGTAACTACATCATTTTATTGTATACCAGGTACTATATACAATACAAAGGCTTATAACTATAAACAGAATTGTACAACAGGTACCTCTATTCCAGAAGACTCTTCTCGTATGGTTACCTTAACCATGGGATTAATAGAATACATAATACGAAATACGATAAGTGTTGTAGTTTCTGGTGCATGTAATACTAAAAAAAATTTATTAACGATACATAAAACGTAGGCCAGAAGTGAGACTATGTTTATACAAAATAATTCCGCCTTTACATGACTCACGTCAATTCGTTTGCCAGCCAGTAAAACAAAGTTTTGAAATTACACCAAAGCATAATTGAGTCATAAATCCAGTCTACCACTGTCTAAGGTAATATTACTATGTAATAAAGATCTGTCAGTAAATTGCTGGGTTAGTACAAATAGACCGGTCAATCAATCATTTCAGAATATAAGTGGCATATAAAAAGTGGTATAATTCAACAACTGCTGACACAATAATAAATGTCCATATAGATTGAGGAGCCACTTCAGATTATAAACGGATTTTAAGCGGAAACTTACCCTTTATTTAGTAGGTGAGCAAATAATTTTGTAGGACAATTCCTGAAATTTGTAGTAAGATATATCCAAAGTTATATTAATGTAAAAGTGGCTCCTCAATCTAAACATTTGAATTGAGGAGGCACCTGAAACACGGAAAGTATTTAATTAATATTTTTGAAAATGTCGTATTATTTAATAGTAAATGTGTATAGCGCCTACTAAGAATCTTAATCCAATACTGTTGATATTCAAGAATATACAATACTTTTAATGTGACTCCGAATTCTACATTTAAGAGCGTGAATTGCCATGAAAGTAATAGGTCAACATTTATATTTCACTCCAAAAACATTTAGTAGCAAGTGTGTTTGAATTTGTAGCATCAGGAGAAAGTAGTAAAACTGAGTGGATTTAATAAATAAACGCATTTTATTTGGCTCCTCAATCCTAACGTCTGCATAATAAATAATCGACTGTACCTACCTGAGATCACAACAGAAACAAAAACCAGAGACACTAACATGTAGCATTAATGTCTACTGAATAAATATGTACATAGGCCTCTCCTTAGAAAGAAGGTTTTGGCCTACTATACCACGCTGGCCAGGCGGGTTGGTATAGGGTTTGTGTCAAGTTTTCCGTCTTTTTGCAGTGCTGGTGTCCTGCGTTGTTTTGCGCCCTTAGTCGGTTCTAAGGAGGAAGAGGAGTAAGGAGTAAGGGTTCTAAAGAGAGGCCTATGTCCAGCAGTGGACTATTAAAGGCTGTTGATGTGATGTGTGATGTGATGAAATAAATATGTACAGATCAACGTTGTATATATATTCGGTATCTGAAAAATAAATTACTTTTTGATGTTCATTATGAATTCGCTATTTAAGGTGACCATGTCAAAATGTGAAATCACAAGGACTAGTTTTTGAAAGATAATTTTCAATAAATCGACAATTATCGAAATTTAGGCTTGTACAGAAATCCTCCAGTTATAAGTAGTTATTAATCAATTTGGACACAAGTTATACAATTAATTAATATTGGTTGGTCGGTGCTTTGACGAATTTAACATTGAGAATAATAGTCGTCGTAACCAAACATCTTCCTTGGGTAGTGACATGTATAGTAGTCCCATGCCAGCGCCGCTAATTGCAGGGATAAATTCTATAACACCTATTATTATACAACTACTACCACCTATTTTTAACAATTCACTACGTCTGCAATAACTATTTATCAGTGTTGAGACACTGACTCTTGTGTCGTAAATAAATATTATTAATAATAATAAGTTTATTTGCATAAAATGAGAACAGGACACATTTCGCAAATAAATAGCATGCAAACATTTAGAAGGAAGGTTAAAATAATAAAACATAAGCAACGATATACATGATACAGTTTTGAGTTTGTAGTTGTTAATTAACACAATGCATTACTAAAATGAAAAGACCGAGTAGCGATTTTTTTTAAGAATTCCTTAACAGAATAAAAGCACTGTTCAATTAGCCATTTCTTTAGTTCAACAAAACATGTATGGTATGGTAAGTTTAAAAAAAAATCAGGGAATGCGTTGTAAATAAGTAGTGCCATGTACACATAACTTGCTCTGACCAACTCTAAACGTACAGGCATTTTTAAATGGCTTTGTTTAATTTTACGCTAGACATTTCTTTTGAGCTTTGAAGACATTTCTTTTGAGCTATGAAAACACGGTTCATTTCTGATGAGTAGCCTATAACTAGTTTACCATATCAAATTATGGAGCACACATATGCATAGTATACAAATATTGAA